ACGGCTATTTAGTTGTTCACACACACACACACACACACACACACACACACACACACACACACACACACACACACACACAGAGAGAGAGAGAGAGAGAGAGAGAGAGAGAGAGAGAGAGAGAGACGGAGAGAGAGAGAGAGAGAGAGAGAGAGAGAGAGAGAGAGAGAGAGAGAGAGAGAGAGAGTCAGAGAGAGAGAGAGAGAGAGAGAGAGTCAGAGAGAGAGAGAGAGTCTTCCCCTCACGTCCCACGGCGATTCGGAGTCCAACGCTCCCCCACCCCCATCCCCATCTACCCACGGCTCAGGGAAAGGAGCTCTTCATCCTGCACACGTCCTGTCACCACCACCACCGCCGTCATTCGCGTCTTGTTCTCCTGGTCAGGACCCGCTCTTCATCCTGTAAACGTCCCGCCCGAGATGAGCCGAGATCCAGCCGAGATCCAGCCGAGCTGCAGCCGAGCTGCAGCCGAGATGTGGCAAGCACAACCGCGGGGCGGGAGGGGCGCGCGCTGCTCCCAACAGCTCTGGACTTGCCCCAAGGCCCAAACAGCCCTGGACTAGGCCGACGCGGTGTGGAAGTCTGCAATGTGAGCTTCTTCGTTCTTGTTCCTTTTCCACCTATTTTTAATTTTGTCCTTAGCGGCGGATCGAGCTGCCAGATCAGGGTGGGTGCGCCGAACGGAGGCGCACCCGGCGCTAACCCGAATGTAACCCAAGCCCAACCCGAGACTAACCCGGCGCTAACCCAGCCAGCGCTAACCCGCGCTGCTCGGGGGCATACGTTAGGACGAGTTAGTGCTGGGTTAGTGCCGGGTTAGCGTCGGGTTGTGGTCACCCGTTCTGACCCGTGCTGACCCGTGCTGGCTTAGGTGGTGCTTAACCCGGTGGAACCCGCGCTAACCCGCGCTTACCGATAGACTCACCCTGGGTTGCATCCGCGTCCACAGAATTCTGAGACCCCAGGCTGAGACCCCAGGGGAGCGCGACTGGCGCGAGGGCCCGCCGCCGCGCGCGGATAGCGCGTTTTTGTCGACGGGCCGGGGTTCAACCGCCGCAGTGCGGCCACTGCGTGTCTTGCCGCTGCGTGGCTGCCGCGGCGCTTTGTGCCAGCTTCGGCAGCGTGTTTCTTTAAGATCTGCCCTTCACCCTGGAGGGCGACGCCGAAACTTGCACACACAAAAGGGTTTCTTTATTTCCCCCTGGTATACGAATATTTTTTGCACGCCACAGCTATGCCCGTGGCCAAATCCCCCCTCTCGGCCGCCTTCCGTGTCGGCGGCGTGCCCGTGCTCGGCTTCCTGATCCACACGCACGACGGGTTCCGCTTCGGCGAGGCTGAGCTGATCTATGGCCCGCCCTCCACGTGCAAGCAGCTGGGCGTGCGCCGGCCGCTCAAGGACTGCGTCGTCGCCGCCTACGACTGCCTCTTTGGCGACGTGCAGCCGGCGCTCACCTCTCTCGAGGTCTGTCTCGCTGAGCCGCTGCCCGAGGATCTGCTCGAGGGCAAGCGGGAAGGCGGCCGCAAGGCATTCACGGTGTTCCACACGCGCGGCGAGAGGCACGTCGTGACATTCTCGCCCAAGCTGGGCACGCGCGAGGTGGTGTGCCTGGGAGAGGCATCGTGGCGCATGCAGCCGATCTCGCGCGTGCACTGGTACTCGATCGGCCAGCTCCGGCCCTGGTTTGCCGCGCCGCTCCCGGCCACCGAGTGCGAGCGGCGCATCGCCGCGTACTTTGAGACAAGTGAGCACCGCGAGTTCCGCACCGCAAACAAGACCGACGCCACGCTCTGGCAGGAGGCCGACGGCTCCGCGAAGCTTCTCGGAAGCACAGACAAGCGGCCCAAGGCGGCGTGGCGGATCTGGGGGCTGCGAGGCTACTGGCTGCTCCCGGACGGCGGCGCGCGCGATCGCGACGGCAGCCTCGTGCCCGAGGAAAGCCTGGCGCAGATCGCAAAGGAGGAGCTGCTGCCGTGGCCCGGCGCCGCCCTCGACTGGCGGCCCTCGGAGGCGGACGCGGAGTGCTTGTTCCGCCCCCTCGACCAGGACACGACGTCGGCGCTCGTGCGGCTGCAGCGGGCTCTCCGCACCTCGCCTCACCTCTTTAGCAAAGTGCTCGCGAGCAAAGTGGACCTCCGCCTCGGGCGCGTGGTGTGGCTCCTCACGAGGGCGGGCCCCCGGCTGGCGCTGATCCTCGGCCACGCGCCGTGGAGCGGCGGCTCGGAGAAGAGCGGGCTGCTGCTGAAGGCGCTCCCGACGACGTCCGATTGGTCCGGCGGCGCGCTGCCGGTGCTCCCAGAGGCGGCGCAGCTGAGCGCGGACATCATCGCGCCCGCCGCTCACGTGCAGCCGTTTCCTGCGCTGCTGAACCTGGAGTGCTGCCGGCCGAGCCGCCGCAAGAGGCGGCGGCCGCCAGAGGAGATTGACGCCGCGCCAGAGGGGAAGCGGTTCCCCGGCGCCCCTCTCCCGGATGCCCCGCGGCAGGCGGGGCTCGAGGGGGAGGACGCGAAGCAGCTGCTCGCGGAGCGCGACCTCGCATTCGTGGCGCCGCGAGGCGGAGAGGCGCCGCCCTCGGCCGTCACGGAGCCCTACGAGCCCGGGCGGGGGGCGGTGGTCGGAGAGGACGTGAGCGGGGAGCCTCCGGGCTCGGCGGAGGGGGAGGGCGCGCTGGGCAAGCGCAAGGCGGTGGCGAGCAGTTCGGGCGCGGCCGCAAAGGGCCCATGGCGAGAGGAGGAGGAGCCTGTGCGGCTGCTGCGGCCGAGCGAGGTGCCCGAGCGGCGCGGCGAGGTGCTGGAGGCGCTGCGGCGCGTGCTGCGGCTCGTGAAGCAGGACCCGGAGGAGTTCTGGGGCAAGCAGCGGCCAGGCGAGCCCTTTCCCTTCCCGGAGCTGCTGCCGGCTATGAGGGCCGAGCAGGTGGCGCTTAAGGCGGGAGCGTCGTCCTCAATGGTGAGGTAGAGAGATGCGGAGCTAGATGTGGAGACCGCGCGGGGAGCTCCGGGTGTGGAGTGCCGAGTGGAGTCGTCTCACGTCTGGATCTGAGTTCTGAGACCAAAACACGGTTCACGGTAAAAAACATGCGACGGTGAAAAAACATGGGGAGGCTCCAAACCCTGGGTGGCAGAGAGCGCCGGGCGCACGCACACACTAAACTCTACACACACGTACACGGCTTTACACATTGTAGACACGGCTCGCCGAGCGCTCGCGGCAGCCCCGCGCGCCAGGCCGCCAGCGGTTTCAACCACGCCTGTCACTCTACAACCACGGCGCAAAGTCGCCCTCGAACTCCTCAAAGTCGCGCTGGCGCGCCGCACCGTCCGGGCCATAAGAGCCGAGCCTGATCTGGGCCCGCTCTAGCCAGCCGTAGAGAAGGGGGCGGCAGCGCTTGTAGGCCAGAGCCCCGTCCACCGCCTCGTACCAGCGCTGCAGGTCGCGCATCCTCTTGGGCGAGAGGCGGAGGACGGTGGTGGCGGGCGGAAAGGCGTGCGCGCTGATGGTGGCGGTGGTTGGCACAGTGACGCAGGTGAGGCAGTGGCTGTTGGCGAAGGCGTAGTCGCCGATGGAGGTGAGGGTGGCGGGGAAGGTGACGCGGGCGAGGGAGGAGCAGCGGGCGAAGGCGTACTTTTCGATGGACTCGAGGCCGTCGAGGATGTTGACGGAGACCAGGCTGGAGCACTGCGAAAAGCAGCCGATGGAAGCCTTGCCGGCACGGAAGGTGACGCTGTTTATGGAGGCACAGCTGCAGAAGGCGTAGATCCCGAGCGAGCGCACTGTGCGCGGGAGGCTGATGTCGGTGAGGGAGGAGCAGCCCGAGAATGCTGCGTCCCCGATGATCTCCAGACGTTGTGGTAGCTTGATTGAAACGAGCGAGGAGCAGCCGCAGAAGGCGTCGTCGCCGATGGAGACGAGGCTGCGCGGGCAGGCGACCGAGACGAGAGAGGTGCGGCCCTGGAACGCCTCATCTGGCAGGCGCGTCATGCCTTTGGGCAGCACCGCGTGCTCGTCGGTGATGATGATGACGTGCCCGTCGGTGAAGACGTGCCAGTCCATGCTTTTTACCATGCTTTGATCGATCGGCGAGCAGCGGCGAAGACGGTTTTCTGGCGGCACAGAAAAAAAGCAAAAAATTAAATATTTAGGAAAAGGCGGACGCCCAAGGGTGGGCGACGGCTAGCGCACCACACCCCTCTCCATAAAATACGTGGCAGTTCCCTTGCTCCAAGCGCTTTTGCGCTTCGTTCGGCGGTAGTGATCTGATCACCCGAATGCCATGTTCGGATCGCTCCTCATCGCAAACCCTGTCAGCAGTTCACCCTCGGGTATGTTCGTAAGAGCCACACAAGTACGAACACTGAGCGAACTCTCTTTTCTCCTAAAAAAGTGGTAGCACACGAACAAGTTTGCAAACACGGCCAACCTAAGCATGGTGCTCACCACGGAAGCCTGCGCCCTGCGCCTCGTGCTCTTGGTACTCGCTGCAAGCACTGGCTCAGAGTCCTCGTGCACCACGCCCGTGCGCGACGACGCAAGAGAAGCGAACCAAAAAAGTTCCCGCTGTGGTGGCATCCTGCCGGCAATCGGGTATCCGACGGCATGACTTGCGAGTCGAGCTCGCGGAACGCGACGGCAGTCGATCCCCCATGGCCCGGCAGTGGCAGCATCACCGGTCGTGGTTGCCACCATGGACCAGCTGCTCAGTCCTGACATGCGAGCCCGTTGAAATCGCCTCGCACAAGGGTGCTCGCCTTCGTGTATACGGCGCGGCGGTTGTGCAGCAGCGCATAATCAGCTATACGGGTGCATGATCGTTCGCTCTTTCGTCTCCCTCGGCTGGGCTGCAGCCGGTGGCGTCTCGCTCCTCTCCACCAGCTCTGCCGAGCTCCGCACACCTCCACCATCCACAACAAAAAAGATATGCCTAACAATGCCTCGTATTTGTGCATGTATTTGTGCATGTATTTGTGCATGCTTGTGAGATTGTGTGAGGTTCAGGGGTGCATGCATGTGTGATGTGTTGAGAGAAATCGCGGGGGACGCGACCCACTTCGCCACAGACGGTCCCGCGCCTCGCCGCTATGACGGCTACATGCAGCCGCTTTGCGCCTGAAGCCGGGAGAGTAGCTCCTCTGCTGCTCACACGCTCTACACAGTTGATACAGCCTACTGTGCGGCTGCCACAGCTGGGTGTGAGGTCAAACCACGCTACCAGCGCTTGGTCACATCAGCCCTGAGGTCAGATCCTTCTACTCTGTTGATGACAAGACTTGTCTACTCGCTGGAGCCGAAAGAAAGAAAGAAAGAAAACAGACAACCCAAGGGAGGGATCGCTGGAGCCGAGCAGGAGGGCCCGCGGCTGTCAAATTCTTTTTCCCTCCTCTCTCGCGCCACTCTGCGCCCGCGTCACAAGCTTTTCCCTCCGCCTACGAACCCACACACGTGCGCCGCTGCCCTCGCCTCCACGCGAAGCACCACGCCGCCGCGTCACCACTCGCTTCATCACGCCGCCTCGCCGAGCGCAGGCGTCTCGGCATGCCGCCTGCGAGCCCCACCGACTCCGCGGACTCCTGGCCCGCAGCCGCGGCGCGCCTTCCCACCCCCCGCTTGCGTTCATGAGACTCCGTTTATCGGATCCTCAATGTGTGATGGGGGGGTAGCGATGGCCACGACACTCCTCCGGTCGGCGCCCAAGGGGGGGTTGTGGTATGTCGCTCCCCGCGCTCTCACCGCCCTTTCTCCCGCCTGTAGCGCAAGGCGGCCGGATGCCGCGTTGACACGGCGCGGCTGCGGCTGACTACCTTCTTCTTCTGGGTGATCTCCGTGGAGTGCGAGCCGCACGTCTGCGCGGACGAGCGGGAGTGGCGACGCTACCTCGGCATCGCCCCCACACCCGGCGCGGCGCGCCCCGCCGACGACGCCACAGAGGAGATCGAGGCAAAGGCGCGCGAGATCGCCGCGCAGCAAAACGAGATCAAGCACCCGGACGGCGCCTTCGCCTTCCTCATCGCCGCCCTCTACCTCTTCTTCGAGATGTTCCGCCTCACACCCGCCATCAAATTGTGGTACGCGCTGTGCGTGCCATCTCTTGCCGCGCCCTGCTGCCCCCGCTGCGGCCCCGCCGCTCACGCCTCACCGCGTCGGGTGTACAGGCGGCATCCAGCACGTGCTCTCGCCGTCGGGCACGCAGCCATCCGCATCCTCCTCCGCATCCTCCTCCGCGCCGACATCGCCGTCGACCTGGTGCCAAAGGAGGCGGCGCGCGAGGGCGTGCGTGCCGCGCTGGCGAGCGGCCTCGCCATCTTTGTCGCCGCGGGCATCTTTGTCCGCGACGACGGCGCGCACCGCGGCAGCGGCGTGCGGATGGCACCCGCCCACTCACCTCACCCACTCGCTTATAGGCGGAAAGCACCGCATCGCGACCGAGGAGGACAACGGCCCGCTCGCGCCGCTGCTCCAGGAGGCGCGCGCAAGGGGCAAGCTGCCCAGCGGCGCGAGCGACGAGCGGCTCATGGCGCACGTCATCTACGTGGCCCTCTCCTTCTCCCTCGCGCGGAGCATCATCCCGGCCGAGTGGTGCGCCGCCGGCTGCAGCTACGGCGCGCCCTTTCTTTGCGCGCTTCCCCTCCTCCCCCCCCCTCCCCCTCTCATGAAAGGTACTCACCGTAGGCTCTGGCGCCACCGACGGGCGCGCGCGCGACGGCTCGGCGCTCACCGTCGAGAGCGAGAGCGGCGAGTTGAACGCCGCCCTCGAGGAGCGCCTCGAGTCGGCCGATGCGCGCGCGAATTTCGCGCGCGTGTTCGACTACTTGCGCGTGCACAGCGGCCAGCGCTTCAGCCTCCGCCTCGTCATGAACCATGCGGCGATCGACGGCAAGGTCTCGGCGCGCGACTTCTCCAACATCAGCTGGGCGGACAAGGAGCAGATGGAGGAGTTTGTCAGCGAGGCGCGCGGAGCAGGCGAGGCCGCCACGTGTCGGGCGCTGACTCACCGCCTCCTCGTGTCCCGCAGGTGCTCTGCGAGGAGCTGTGGCGCGGGATCCGCTGCCCGCAGTCGGACGACGAGCGGGAGGAGATGAAGAAGCAGATGGGGAAGCACGCGTGGAGCGGCCTCGCCAACGGCGACTCGGTGCCGCTCCCCCACTTTGCTGCAAAGATCCCTCCCCTACCCGCCCGCTCGCCCTCCGTACCCGCACCCGTTCCGGCTGCAGCCTCTCTTCGTCGGCGTCGAGATCTACATCCTCTTCCTGGACGGCAGCAAGGAGCTGGCCGCGCTGCTCAAAGAGGTGGGCTCGCCGGTGCGCGGCGTGAAGCCGCTCGGCCTGCGGGAGGTCGCGGAGGGCAGCCTCGGTGCGTGCCCCGGCCTCCCCAATGAGCGGCCAGGTGAGATTGCGATCTCAGCCCTTGGTTTCCTGCCGCAGTCGACTCCAAGCTGCGCGAGACGATGCCGCAGCGGGGCACGCTGCTGCACGTCCCGCCCGACGCGGGCTCCCTCCGCAAGGGCCTCGAGCGCGCGTGCGGGCGGGCGTACGACGACATGCGCAAGGCGACCGCGATTGCCGCGCGCTCGACCGAGGGTCGATTTTGTAGTGAGCTAGGCGCTTTTGCGAGCGTACACACGCTGAGAGTACTCCACCTCCACCTAGCAGGCGTGCTGCGCTCCTCGGCGCTCGTCATGCTCGAGGCGCGCGTCGAGCAGGTGGCGCTCTACCTCGAGCAGTACAATGCGCTGCTGCGCTCTGACGCTTCCGGCGCTGTTGCGGCGCTCGACCCGGCGCTGCTCAAGGCGGCGACGCGCGTCGCCTTGTGGAGGCCGCACCACGCTTTCTGCCGCTACCTCTCTTCGCTACCGCTTAGCACTGCCGCAACCCGCCCTAGGTCGGGGGTGTGCAAGGCGGTGGCGGCCGCGGCGGGGAGGGGAGGGGAGGCGGCGGCGGCGGCGGCGGCCGCGCGCTGCGCGGCGCTCGGCCGGAAGCTGGCTGCCGCCGCCGTCGGCAAGGCCGAGGCGGCGGCGGGCTTGGAGGCGCGACTGGGCGCAACGTACGAGGAGGCGGTGGAGGCCGGCGCGGCAGCAGTGGCCGGCGCGCCGGTGGCCACGAAGGCCGAGCTGGAGGCGCGCGAGGCGGAGCGCTCCGCGGCGGCGGCGGAGCTCTGCACGGCGCTCTTCGGCTCGCCCAAGCTCGAGCCGCTGGAGGCTGCCGTCGGCCGCGCCAAGAAGGCGGCCGTGGCGGACGCGCCGCTGCTCGAGCGCGCGGCGGCGGAGCTCGCGACGCTGCGCGAGGCGGAGCGCTCCGCGGCGGCGGCGGAGCTCTGCACGGCGCTCTTCGGCTCGCCCAAGCTCGGGCCGCTGGAGGCCGCCGTCGGCCGCGCCGTCAAGGCGGGCGTGGCGGACGCGGAGCTGCTCGAGCGCGCGGCGGCGGAGCTCGCGACGCTGCGCGAGGGGCTGGTCGCGTCTTACCGCGCCCACTCCAAGCGGCCGCAGGTGGTGCCCCGATCTCCGCATTGCGCTCCGCCTCCCCCTCCCGCCCATGGCCTCGACCCCTGTACACAGGCGCAGCGCGAGGCGGCTGAGGAGCTGGTCGCGTCTTACCGCGCCCGCTCCAAGCGGCCGCAGGTGGTGCCCCGATCTCCGCATTGCGCTCAGCCTCCCCCTCCCGCCCATGGCCTCGACCCCTGTACACAGGAGCAGTCCCCCGACAGCGAGCCTCCAGCAAAGCGGCCAGGCAACCCACGACGAACGGAGGCCGCCGCGGCAGAGCTGCTGCGGCTCGAGGCCGAGGCCTATCGCGGCAGCCTCGGCAAGGTCGAGCAGGCGAAGCTAACCAAGATGCAGAGCGACGTCCAGCGAAGCCAGTTGAGGGGGCAGCGGGCGGACGAGGCGCACGAGAAGGCCGTGACGCGGGCAATCGAAAACTGCCCCGCCTTCTGGAATGGCCGTCGATACCAGCTCGACACGGCCATTCCAGGCACGGATGACGACACGCCACGCAAGCGTGTTCTACGGCTGCGTGCTGAGCTCAGGGCGAGGAGCTTGCCCTTCTCCGCGGCCAAGCTCCTGGCAGCCGATCCGACTCTCGAGCAGGTGACAGCACCGCGCGCCTAGCCTGGTGTTCTACCCTTATTGCACTTACAACCACTGCCCGTGCCCAGGACTTGGGCCTTGTGCCGAGAGTCGTCGCAAAGCTCCTCAACCTTGAGAAGAGGAAGGAGGGCAAGGCGGCGGCATGAAGGATGGAGCACCAGGCGCGGCCAGGTGCAGGGCAAGCGCTGGAGAGGAGACTATTCTTGCCGCTTCGCCCACGTGGAGGGCCGCTCGCGCATGCCGCGCGTGCGAGCGAGAGAGAGAGAGTGTGTGAGCATACGCGCTTGGAACAGACTCCGCCCATATCACCCCGTGCGACGTGGTGGACACGGTGGGACGAGCGGGGCACAGAGCCATGGGTTGTGGAGTACTTTACAGATTGAGTCATAGGAGACGCGCTTCTCCGGCTAGACTTCGTCGAGAAGAAATAAAACAAAAGAACTCTTCACACAACGGCAGCCCGTGCCAGGGAGAGCCTAGCGAACGTATCAGTTTTACTTTAGAGAGACTCCAAAAAGAATTCCGCTTTCCGGTCTCTCGGCGGATGTAGAGCTCTACAGCTCTACAGCGCTCTCCAGCACTCTACAGCTCTACAGCGCTCTACACTCTACATCCTCTACACCCTCCCTCAGCTCTTTTCTTTTTCGGCGCCGACAAGCCCGAAGGTGGTGTGTGCCCGCTGCTGATGAAACTCGCCCAACACGAAGCGGCGGCGCCACGGCAGAGGCTGTCGCTGAGCGCGTCCAAGAAGCGGGCGCTGGAGGCGGCCTTTGACGCCGAGAGCACGCCCGGCCTCGAGGAGAGGAAGCGGATTGCCGCCGCCGTGGACATCACACCGCGGCAAGTGCAGGTCTGGTTCCAGAACCGGAGGCAGCGCACCCGTGGAGGCACGTCGCGCCAGCCGTCGCCGCGGACGAGCAAGCCCGCCCCGCCGAGAACCACAGCGGTCCCGACGAGGTCCGCAGCGGTCTCCAAGGCAGCTCCGCCAGCCGAGGCGCCGACATCGGCTCCGCAGGTTCCCGCCGTCTCATCGGCGCGGCCGTCGCCAGCCACCGTCGAGTCCGCTGCAGTTCCCGCGAGGCCCTCGCGGCCCCCCGCCTCCTCCTCCAAGGGGCCGTCTCCCCCCGTCGTCGAGGCGCTCATGGGCTTCCTCTGCCACCAGCTCGAGCTGCAGGCGATGGACTTGTGGTTCTGCGGCTCCGGCCACATGGAGCTGCGGCAGGTGTATGCACCGGAAGGGGCCTCGGTGCTCAGCCAACTGCTGTGGTGCCGCGCCGTCCTCTCAACACAGCTCCTCGACGCCGTCTCTGCGCAGGGCCGCGCCGTCTGGTTCGGAGCGAGCCCGGAGCAGGCCTCGCTGCTCTCGCGCGCCGGCGGCGGCAAGGCCGTGATCGGCGTGCCTTGCCCCGAGTCGCCCGCCGCCTGTGCGGCCGTCGGCCCACCGACGAGGCCTTCCAGCGGCGGCGTCGCGGGCGTGCTCCTGCTCTACTGCTCGCACGCACTCGACCGCACGCCGCAGCTCGCCCACCTGCTCAGCGCCTTTGGCTCGGCCGTCGCCGCCGCCACCGCAGCGGCGCCTGCGGGCGTGGTGCCGCGCCGCGGCTACTCGCTGCACCCTGTGGAGGCCGAGGCGTCCGGCCCGGGCTGGCTGCTCCTCGCCGCTGCCCTCGCGGCCGATGCCGAGGCTCGTCGCCACCGCCCTCCCTCCGCCCTCCCTCGCCACCGCCCTCCCTCGCCACCGCCCTCCCTCGCCACCGCCCTCCCTCACCACCGCCCTCCTCGCCACCGCCCTCCCTCGCCACCGCCCTCCCTCGCCACCGCCGCCGCCGCCACTCTCCCCTCTCCCTCGCCCCCTCCTCTACGTCTTCTCCCCTCGCTCCCTCTCCCTCCTCTCCCTCTCGCCCTCGCCCTCGCCCTCGCCCTCGCCCTCTCCCTCTCTCTCGCCCTCTCGCCCTCTCCCTCTCGCCCTCTCCCTCCCTCTCGCCCTCCCCCTCTCCCTCTCGCCCCGTCCTCGGGGCCGCCGAGCCCACGAGTGAGCCCCCTCCCTCTCCCGTTGCGAGTGAGCCCCCTCCCTCTCCCGTTGCCCCAGGCGGCCGAGCACTGGCTGCTCAAGCCGCACCCGCCAGGCGAGAGACGCCCGCGAGGCCACCCACCGGCCGCGAGGGAGCAAGACGCGCACGAGCCGGAGGCGCACGCGCGGGCGGAGCGGCGGCTGGTGTCGCCGATGGTTGCGGGAAGCGGCGCAGAGGCGCGGAGCCGCTCGCCAGGCATCTGCCGCGCCGCGTTGCGCGACGGCGAGCTGGTCTGGCTCCACGCCGCCGCGCTGACTGGAGGCGGCACGCGAGCTGCGAGCAGCAGCGGCGGCCTTGGCGGCCGGCCCGACGGACAGCCCAAGGCGGTTGCGGCTCTTCCCCACGCGCCGGCTACCGCCCTCTCCTCCTCCACCGCCACCGCCATCGGTTTGCCGCTCGGCTCGAGCAGCGCCCTCTCGAGCGCCTTTGCGCTGTACTCGCCCTCCCGGCTGCAGCAGTGTCCTCGCACCACCAACCTCCTCCTCCACCTCCCCCTCCTCCACTCGGCCGCGCTCGCGTGCAAATCTGTCGCGACATCGCGGCGGCAGCCCAACCTGCCGCAGCCCAACCTGCCGCAGCCCGGCCCTCTCCCTCCCCCCGCCGCCCCCCGCATCGGTGGCGGTGGCCCCCTCGCCGGAGATCCTTCCCCGCCCAGCCGCTGCCCGTCGATGAACAGCGTCGACGGCGACGACTCCGACCTCGCGCTGCTGCCCGCCGCGCTGGGAGCAGCGATCGCCGACCCGGGCTCGGACCCGTGCGCGGAGGAACTGGCGCGAGCCGGCTGCGAGTCGTCGATCGCTTCGATGACGGATCGCGCCCTCGGCGACGGCGACGGCGGCGAGCTTGTCTCGACCGAGCAGATGCTGGGTCTGCTCGAGGGGGCGTTCGCCCCATCGGGAGGCGCGCCCACCCTTCAGCAGCTTTGCGCGGCCGGGGATTGCGGCTGCGGCGTCATTCCCCTCGAGACGGGCGAGCGCAGGGCAAGGGCCAGCGCCCCGCCGCTCGCCCGGCCACTCGCTGACATCCCCGAGTCGCTCCCGCTCACCCGGTCCGACTCGTCCTCGTCCCCGGTCGGCTCTGCCCTCGAGCTCTGACGCAGCAGCATGCAGTCGTGCCAGAGCGCGCACGATTGGTTCGGCGGTACGGCATGGAGGCATCTTGTATGGGGATCTGAGGATTCAGTGACACAGTGTGCGCAAGTGTCCCCCCACCTTCGGGTAGGTGACTCCGCAGGGGGGGGGGGTATTGCCAGTCATACTCGTCCGGCTCTCTCGTGCGCAGCGAGAAGGTGATCGTACTAGCCTACTAGAGATAGCGAGTCCCGCTGCCGCTACCCAACCCCGTCGCCTCTCTATACTTTATACGTCTTGTTGAGAAGATCTATGATATATCGCGCGGTTCGCGCGACCCAATCGATTTTAGTTTTTACACAGATTACACGGCCTTGTGATCATGGGTCTTAGCGCCGATGAGGAGCTATATGAATATGTGCATCGCCTACATGTACATGCACATATCCCCCGTCCCCTTTCGCGCTCTTACTTTTGTTGATCTCTTGATCGCTCTTTGTCCACAATTCTTTTTTCAATTCTTGCAAGACGAGAATATACACGCGCCACCGAGACCAGTGAGGTGTATGCGGGTCTCAGTCTAATAGCGTCTCGCGAGCATCCGCTGCCGTGGGCGATGCGACCCGTCTCGATCGGGACCGGCGGCCGTGGTCGCACCACCGCCAGCCGCTGGCGGTCCGCGCGGCGCCAACGCAAGCGGCGCCGAGGCACACGGCGAAGAGCGCGAGGAGCATGGCCGCCAGCAGTTTGAACTGCGTGTGCAGCGGCAAGCCGAGCCCGGGCCGCGAGCCGAGCAGCTGCGCGAGGGACTGCAGCGCGAGGGTGGCGGTGGTGGCGATGCCGCCGACGAGCGCGAAGCGGGGGGCGCCTGCCGGGGACGTGTCGGGGACGTGTCGGGGACGTGTCGGGGACGTGTCGGGGACGTGTCGGGGACGTGTGTCGAGGGTAGTGGGTGGCAGCTGACGAGCGCGGGGCGCGCGCCGCGGTAGGCTGTGCGCGCGACACAGCGCGCGCCCTCGGCATCGCACACAACGCGCATGAGCTCGTGCAAGACCTGTTCACAGTCGCAGAGCCTCGACGCGCCGGCGAGGGAGGCGCAAGGCAGCAGCGGGAGGAGGACGTGGTAGGCGACGAAGGCGGCGTCGTAGCTGGCCGCGAGCCGCTCGTCGTGCCGCTCGCCGGCAACCGCCATGGCGTACAGGAGCGCCTAGCCGCAGCCCGCACGCCCGTCACCGCACGCACGTCACGCGGTTCGCGGCGGAGGACCGTCGAGCGGCACACCGACAGCAGGAGCGGCGCGACCAGGACGAGGGCGGAGCGCAGCCGAGCGCACCGCCGCTCGTCGAGCCACCGCTCGCAACAGAGCGGCAGCAGCGCGGCGCAGCCTCCGAGCAGCGAGGCGGCGACAGACACCCAGCCGTTCCTGCGGCTCGAGGCACCGCAGGGCGGCGGCGGCGGCGTGGCAAGCGGCGGCGGCCCGGGCAGCAGTGCGGGCGGCGGCTCTGCCCAGTCGGCCGCCGGTGTGTGGCGGTGCGTGCTGTCGGGCTGGAGGGCCTTCCAGGGTTGGGACGGGGAGGAGGGGGGGGGGGGGGAAGGTGAGAGGGGGGGGGGGGGGGGCATGAGGGGGTGGCGGGTGGCGAGGGTCGGGAGGACGGTTTTGGGAGGGGGGCGAGAGGCGCCTGCCAGTAGGTGAAGACGAGATGGTGGACTGCCGTCGCGACGGCGAGCCACGCGTAGTACTTGAGTGCGCCTGCGGGAGGGGGGTGGGCCACGGGTCACGGCGGTGTCCTGGGGCGGGCGGAGGGCCGGAGGGAGGGCGCCCGAGCGAGAGAAGGCTCGGACCACGTCGGAGAGCATGTGCCGGCGAGACTCGCGCGACGAGGCGGCGGCGGCGGCGGCGGGGCTGCCGTCGGAGCAGGCGGCGGCGAGTGGCGGCGGCGGCGAGGGCTGAGCTACGGCGAGGAGGGGCCAGAGCGTCGGCGAGCTGTCGGCGGAGCAGGCGGCGGAGCAGGCGGCGGAGCAAGCGGCGGAGCAGGTGGAGGAGCAGGTGGAGGAGCAGGTGGAGGAGCAAGCGGCTTGCTCGGTGTGCGGCTGGCCAGCAGGCGGCGAGAGCTGGCCGCACTGCGATGGCTGGCCGCACTGCGGTCCGCACTGCAGGGGATGGGCGGCGGTGCGCGAGGGGCGGCTGGCTTCAGACGCGACCCCCGGGGGGGCGAGTATGGGCACGGGAGGCAGCTGCGGCGGGCCGATCGAGACGCCGAGGCCTCCGGCGTGTCTGGACCTGGTTTTGAGCGGCGGCGGAGGCGAGGGGAGGGCGAGGGCGAGCAGCGTCGCCGCGGCGGTGGCGGCGGTCGAGATCTCGAGAGTGACGAGCAGGGGCACGCCTGGGCGGGGACGAGGGGCTGAGGGGAGGAGAGGGCGCGGGAGGAGGGCCGGAGCAGGACCGCTGCTGCACGAGGCGACCAGCGAGCGGCCGGCGGTGGCGGGCCGGCGGTGCGAGGGAGGATAAGGGCTGGTGGCAGCTGGCTGGTGGGCGCCAGCGTTGACGAGCATCTGGCCGACGAAGGAGGCTGCCACCTCCGAGAGGACGCCCGCCGACGCGACGAGCCCGACGGCGCGCGCGTACGACTCGGAAGGCAGCGAGCGGAAGAGGATGGCGACGAGGGACGGATGGGCGGCAAACCCGACGGCGATTGCGACCTGCGAGAGCTGCAGGAGGAAGACGGAGTCGCCGCCGTAGAGCAGGAGCAGGAGCGTGGCCAGGCGGCCGAGCATGCCGACGAGGACGACAGCGCGGTAGCCGACCAGCTCCGAGCCGGCCGAGAGCAGCGGGAGCAGCGCCAGCTGGGCATAGGTCCAGAACGGGAAGATGGAGTCGACGATGGTGCTGCGTGGCACGCCTCTGACGCAGTGCATGAACGGCACGAGGTACGGCTCCGACGGCTTGAACGTCTGCAGCGCTGTGAACCCGCACACGAGCGCCAGCACAGGCCAGGCCGGGAGCGCACTGCTGCGCTTGGGAGAGCCAAGTGATGCGGACGGCTGCTGCTCGCCGTCCTGAGGCATTTCGCTGCTGCTCTTAGCGTCACTGTCCTCAGCGTCACTGTGGCGATGAGACGCGGCCTGTTCCGGCGCGATCACGCGGCGAGGCGTCGAGCCGGCACCGAGCAGTGGTGCCGGGAAGAAGAATTCTTCTCCCGCACAATAAGAAGAAACCGCGCTCCGGGGAAGAGACAGCAGGAGAGAGAACGACGAGAGTGAGAAGAATGCGAGGTGGCATGAAGGTCGCTGCAAGAATTGGTGATAAACTGCGGAGAGAGATAGGAAGTGGTAGACGCCCGAGGGTGGGCGACGGCTAACACCACACTTCTCCCCTAAAATCCCTGTGTGGTGGCGGCGTACCGTCCTCCCATCCCTCCCTTGGGTTGCCTGTTTTCTTTCTTTCTTTTTCTTTTACCGCGCTCCGGCGATGGCGAAAAACTCGTCTCGCCGCACACCAAGGGCTTATGCTCTGGCGAGATGTGAGGCGCATGCGCCCAGGAGGGGAGGGCGCATGCGTAACGACGCTGCTAGAGATGCCTTTCGGGGCCCAGAGATAAAACTTCTGTGATGCCATGCATGACCTAGTAGTGTCCCCAGCTATGGGCGTGTCCACGTTGGAGCCAGGTGTGGTGTGGGCGCGAGAATAGCTCCGCCGTTCATGGAGGCAACCGATGCGAGTCGACTGGTGTGTGTCGTCGTGATCTGTGATCTGTAAGGGTCCGCCCGCAGGCGCATTTTGTATACCGAGGCGGTGCCCGGTGCCGAGCGCAGGCCGGAGCCCACAGGTCGGACCTTAAGACAGCGTTGTAGATCCCTGGGCGAGGGTGGTGGCGTCCCCGTCGGGTCAGGGCTGAGGGCGGGGGAGGCCAACCCGATCTCTCCGGCGTCCCGGGAGCGTGATTGACACCTCCCCCTGTGCCAACAGCCCCGTGGAGGGAGACCGCTCGTCTAGCCAATCAGCCTTAAGCGAGCGGTCTGGCCGTTGGAATGGCCGAGTTTGGTGTGGACTTGCGTCCTCGCATCGGTCGTGGTTGGTTATACACAAAGAAGCGTTACTGTATGAAATAACAGAACAACCACCATGAGCCACATTTTTGTCGGGAAAGGGGGAGGTCTGTGACCTGCCTAGTAAGCCGGGCATGCGAGGGCATGCGCGGCCTTTCGGAGCCCCCTTCCCCTGTCGGCTTAGTACGGTTGGTCAGCGCGTCTCCGTCTGAAGTCGTCTCGAGGGACGAGGCTTCCGAGCTGATCCATCCATCCGCTTGCGCTTTCGCATCTTTTGTTTCGGCGTCATCAGCTCCTCGTCCTCGTCATGCTGCTGGCTCGCCCCCTCTCCCTGACTCATCGAATCGCTCCGTTCGTTCTCAAATCGC